ATCCAGCCATTTTTCTTGCAGAGGGTACAGATCTCAGCCACTTCCCAGGAGGCATAGTTGGACAGGCCAAGCTCCACAAACTTGCCCTGCAGGGGAGAGACTCCATCAGAGCCCAGCTCAGTCCAGGAGACCAGGAAGGGGGACTGACTGGGAGGGCAGCCTGGAGTGAGGTCTGTGCCCGCCCTGCTGTGTGTTGCCAGCACTCACTCTCCTGGCAGGGTCAAGTTGGAAAGATCAGAGAGCATCCCCCCCAAGCTCAGGGCCCACACTCACCTCCTGATGCAGCTGGTGGCAGACCTGCAGCGTCTCCTCTATAGGGGTGTTCTGGTCTGGGTAGTGTAAGTAGAAGAGGTCCACCCGGGGACACTGCAGCCGCTTCAGTGAAGTCTCCAGCTGGAACCGGACGTCATCAGGCTTCAATGTCTTCCCAAGCGTTCCAATAGCCTTGGTGGCTATTTTCACTTTTGGGGTGGGGGGTGGAATGCAAGTTTAAGTCACTTTACCAAACATAGTATTACTTTAACAGTTGAGTAACAGAACTGGGCTGCATATGGTGGTGCCTGCCCCTGTTCCTAAATCTTCAGGTTTGGGGGAGGGATACAGGAACTCAAGGTCAGCCTTGTCTTCATAGTACAAATCTAGTTCTATATCAAACACTAGATCCAAAAAACAAGTAAGGACAAAGAACAGATGGAGGGAGAATGAGGGGAGGGAGAGAGAGAATTAGGAAATATACAGACAGACAAAGGCAGAGATATAACTGGGTTCAAATTGTAGCTCTGCCATTAATTAGTAGCTGTGGCCTAGAATAATTGAGTCCTCCTCAATGCTGCTAAAGGTCAATGACAATGAGAGTGATAATGGCTTACGGAGAAGCCCTGAGGGTTGACAGGCATAACTGACAATGAACATGAAGAGTGGTTGGTATCCTCTCTGTGACAATTACCTACTGGGCACCTAGGTGAGCCAAACCAGGCACTGGGGCTGGTGGATGCAGAGGACCTGCGCTCATGGCTTTGCAGAGTACAGGCCACTGTTGAGTAGTGAGGCAGGGGAAAACTTGAGGTTCCACAGGGGGGCAGAGCAGGGAGGCAGAGGCTAGCCTGGGGTCACAGGGGTTCCTTAGAATCTCATCTGAGTGTCTAGGGCAAGTGAGAAGCTAGCAGACCAAGGACATTGAGGTATTTGTTTACAGGAAGAAGGGCTTTAGAAACCATGAGAAAGAAGGTCTGGGGTAAGGGACACGGGGATAGAGAAAAGAGAACAGAGCTGGAGAGAAATCGCTCTGATAACACCCCACTTGGAGTCTGGAGTTAAGACCTGGGGTTGTGGGCAGGGAAGTCTCTGAATCCTTCTAGTACCGAGCTCTGTGATCATTTCCAGATGTTTTGAAAGGTGGCCCTGAATGCAGCATGGGCACAGGGCATGTGTGATTATAGGGAAGGAAGGTGCAGAAGGAACTGGGGACAGAGATGGCAGAGGCTTTGCTGAGAGCCTGTGAGAAGGAAAGTCAGGGCCAGCTACAGACTCTGCTTGGGAAAACAGACCAGTTCTGGACCATCTGAGAGAGTCCCTGCTTCTCTCCCTGCCCTGCTGAAAGTCCAGTGGTATTTTTGATGGTAGATGAATGGATGTATGATCAATGGGAGCATAGAAGGATGGATGCATGGATGGAAAGGACAGACTGGTGGGTGGATAGATGGCGGGCAGGCGGGATGGATGGACTGACAGATGGAAGGAAGGATGGACAGACATGTGGATGGATGGATGGATGGATGGATGGATGGATGGATGGATGGACAGACACGTGGATGGATAGATGGATGGATGGATAGATGGACAGATGAACAGACACATGGATGGATGGATGGATGGATGGATGGATGGATGGATGGGTGGATGGATGTGCAAAAGGCACTTTCCACACTTGAGAAGTCAGTTCAGCAGCCCAAGGCAGTCAGTGGAGCCCCTGACACTCCTGAGTCTCATAGCTGGGACTTTTCCATCCTCCCACCTCACTTGACCTTCCTGATGGGACATCAGCTTCAGATCTGAGCTGTGGCTTTAGCCCAAGCATCCCTGAACTCAAACAGGGGAAGGAGGGAGGGCTCAAAAAAGCAATTTCAATCAGGAGTCAGATCCAGGCTCTGGTGGTGGTAATGGGTAACGTGTATATGCCAGCACTCTGGAAGCTGGGCAGGAGTAGCCCAGCCTGAGCTACAGGTAGATCCTAGGTTCGCCTGGGCTGCATAGACAGATCCTATCACATAATACAACTCCTTTCACTTGGAGGTAGGCAGGAGATCTAGAAACAGCAAGGCACCGAGTGCACGGGTCTGCTTCTGTTCTGGATCCCACTGTGCTGTGAATCCCTGCATAGAACTCCATAGGGCAGTGGTCAGAGTGTAATAATGGAAGAGAAAGAGTTCCATACAGCATAGCAGCAGCCCAGAGAAGTGCAGTGCTGTCTGTAGAGGCTGAGGCAGGGGAATAATTGAGTAGAGAACTCAAGAGAGCAGCATTGCTCTAGGGCCCTGTTCTCTCTGTAGGGCTGTACGTGATCCTATGGCTGCCAACATAATAGAGCAAGAGGTCTTGTTAATCAAAGGCTCATCCTCTACATGATCCAGGGCCATTAGCAAAAGAGGAAGGAGGTCTCAGTCTGGGGTGGTGGTGCTGAGCAGGAGTCCTGGAGATCAAGTGCTTCCAGGGCACCTACTGGCAGCAGCCCAGAGCCCAAGCATGGGCTAACCACATGGCTCCAGGCTGGACCAAGCTAGGCACACAGTGCAAGGAGTATCCTCGGCTACTCTGTCAGAACAAACTGTGGAAGGAGACTGTCAAATTGAAAGTTAGATATGTCTGAAGAGTTTGCATGCCTGAAGAGGTGCAGTTCTCAGAGCTCTTGCGTGGACAAGGGGAGACCAGGGCTCCAGGAGCCGGACAAAGCTGTGCTGGAGCAGGGGGATGACAGAATAGACTCTGTTACCTTTGCAGCCACTGCGACCCAGCCCGAGCCCCAGGCTGCCCAGGATTGTCTCAGACCGGCCTTCCGTGTACACAAAGGCTGTGTCGAACTCCGTGTGGCCGCGCTTCAGGAAAGCTTGCACCGACGCTGCGCTGGAGGTCTGATCCATGCGACCCCCCATCGCCATGCAACCCAGCACAGTGGCGGGCCGAACGGATGACATGGTGGCTCTGGTAGAGGTAGGGGAAGGCGAAGGAGGAGAGGAAGGAGGATCCAGGAGTTTGCAGCTCTAGTGCAAAGACGCCTATGGCTTTAATAGCTGCTGTTAGTGGCCATGCCCATGGGGCGGAGCGAGCAGAGGTGGGGCAGAATTTGCAGTCTGGTGTGAGAGACTTCCTCAAAGCTCTGTGTCTGCCCTGCAAATCTTGAACCTACGTGTGCGCCCTGGAAGAAAGTAAGCTGGCACCCTTCCCTGTTTGTTCTCTCTGCTTCACTCCTGACCACCCTGGTCTCTGTTCCCTTTTAGGAGTTTATGGGTGACCTCCTGCCCAAAATTCCAGTACTCTACAACTGCTGAGACACAAGTTTTAGTTTTGTTTTTCTTTAAAAAAAAAAAAAAGATTGATTGAATGTAGCAAAAAATCAATAAATCCAGGTGTGTGACCTGGGCTTGTCCCAGTGCACTTGGGAACAGAGGTAGAGACAGAAAGATTAAGAACTCAAAGTCCACCTTGCTTACCAAAGGCCTTGTCATACAAACTAAAACAAATACTAAAACAAATAGCTTCATGAATGAATTGAGGTTGAGGGCATAAGTCAGTTACTAACTTGTATTGTTGGTGACAGGTCCTGCAAAGGTCGGGGAGCAAAGATAAGGACTGGAAATGGTATTTCCAACCAATCTGTAAACTGTTGACAAAAGGTTGGTCACAATGACTCAGCAACTTCTTTTTTTTAATTCAAGGACATGAAAAGATATGTTCACACAAAAGCCTATATTCTCTGTTGTTCTTTAACATTATACATACATACATGCATACACACACACACATATTTGTAAGGCTCTTGTGTATCTCCTGTGGCTTCAACTCATGTAGTTGTTGAGAATAACCTTGAAATTCTTGTTCTTCTGCCTACACCTACTAAGTGCTGGGATGACAGGTGTTGGCAATCTCACCAGGATTTTGTGACCATGGAGCCCTCTACCAACTGAGCCATATCTCTGCCATGCAGGAGACTTTAGAGTTGTTCACTTGGAAGTCGCAGAATATAAAAACAACCTGAATGTCCCCCTGGGTAGATTGGCAATGGACTAAGCTGTGAACTCACTGTAGCAGTTGAGTCTCAGCAGGTGGAAGAAGCCTCGGGGCACACGCGTGATTCTGTGTGTGACATTGCTGGAGAGACAGCTCCACGGGGACAGGAAACGGAAGGACAGAATTCTAGGCGGCTCGGCAGGTAAAACACGGGCTGCTCTTCCAGAGGACCCAGGCATGATTTCCAGCACCCACATGGCTGCTCACAACCCTTTGTAACTGCACTTCCAGAGGGTCCAGTGCCCTCTCTGGCTCCTCCTCTAATGCAGGCCCCAGACCTTGGCAGAACTGACTCCATGATGGAAATTCCATTCAGCTTATATAAAACTCAGCATGGAGCCAGCACCACCTTCCAAAATGAAGCAAAGACCTAATCCCTCAGATCCATAGTTCTGGGGACGTCCCTCACTGTACCCACCTTGTTTTTTGTCTTCTGCGGTTCTGTTTCTGATGAACACTGAAGAATATGGTCAACCCATAATATGGTTTTTGTGCTTAAAAGCTTACTCTGAGAAAGGCTCAGGGCTACACCAGGATCCCAAATGTCCAGTGGTCTCTGGCTGGCTAATAGAGACATTCTGTTGTCTTAAACCCATGTGTGAGGCGTCCTCTCTGGTGGGTGCCCCACAACACTCTAGCACCAGAACACATACCATTGGCTTCCAGGGTCCTCAGAGAGAGGAGGTCATGGAGAGCTGTACTGGGGGATTGGAGTGTATGTTGATTTTGGGATGACTCAAGACTGTATGTCCAAACCTTTAGATCTGTACACTACAATAGGTGACCTTGCCGACTGTGATGGCTCATGTTTGAGAAGATTGCTGCCTGCTGGAGGCTAGCCTAGACTATCTAGTGAGTTCCAGTCCTTCCTGGGCTACAGTATGAGACCATTCCTCCAAAACATAGAAGAAAAAAAGATAATTAGAAGGCAGCCACATCTGGGCTGTGTTGGCGTACGCCTTTAACCCCGAGCACTCGGGAGCAGAGGCAGGTGGGATCTCTGTGAGTTCAAAGACAGCCTGGTCTACAGCGTGAGTTCTAGGATAGTCAGGGATGTTTCACAGAGAAACCCTTTTTTCAAAAAACAAAAGAACAAAACAACAACAACAACAAAACAGAACCAACAGCCACAATATAGGGACCCTGCACTCCATAGGCCAAGGCAGGATTAAACTGTCAGGATTTCAGTGCCTGCCTGGGCAATCGGGTACCAGGCCAACCAGCGTTACATAGCAAGACTCTGTTTCAATTGTCCAAAGAGGGGTCATGAGTGCAGCTCGGTTGGCAAAGCACTTACTTGTCTCTCACACAAAAGCCTGGGCTTCCCCCACACCACATGAGCTGACTGTGGTGGGCCACACCCCCACCCACCATTTGGGGTGGAGACTCAAGGATTACATGAGACCCTGTCTCAAGTCAACAACAACAAAAAATACCCAAGTCAATAAAAATCGGGGTTCAGGGACTATAGCTCAAGCACCGATTTCCTAAACTTTTCCCATTGGCCACTGCTTCTGATTAGAGAAGTTTTTATGAGACTCCAATCACATAATCACATCAGTATATAGAAAGAGGTGTACTCTTTAAACACATGCTGATAAGACCTAGAGAAGGTCATGGAAGCTGGGTTTATCGAGTCATGCTTGTCACCCCAATACTTCCCACAGAGTCAGGACTGGGAGCTCAAGGTCATCCTCAGGGGCATAATAAGTTGCAGGTCATCTGGGCTCCACCAGAACCAGTCTCAAATAATAATAATAATAAAATGTAAAACAAAATCTTTGAAAATAATTATTTGGTAACAAGCAATTTTACCATTCATTAAAGACTATGCTAATGAGTTAGATTATTGCCAGGCAGTGGTGGCGCACGCCTTTAATCCCAGCACTCGGGAGGCAGAGGTGGGGGATTTCTGTGAGTTTGAGGCCAGCCTGGTCTACAAGAGCTAGTTCCAGGACAGGCTCTGAAGCTACAGAGAAACTATCTTGAAAAACAAACAAACAAAAAACAAAGAGTGAGACAGATTATCTTATTTTGGTTGACTATTAGTACTCTCCTTTCTTTTTTTCATTTGGTTTTTCGACCCAGGGTCTCTCTGTGTACACTAGACTGACTTGAAACTAAGAGACCTGCCTGCCTCTGCCACCCGAGTGCCTGGGGTAAAGGAGTGCACAACCTGCACCACCACCACCCGGGAAGTTCTGTCTTTTCAAAAAGGTGGAATGGTACATTATCGGGGACCTCTGAGTGTCAGCCTTGTGTCCGTTCAGGGTTCAGAAGAAGGACTCACAGCAAGCACGGGACTTAGATCTGAGGGTGAAAAGATCTCTCCACTACGTACTTTCCTGCATCTGTTTCCTTGTTCTTCTCCTGCTGTCCTCCTGTTCTGTAAAGTTTCCAGTTTATATGCACAAAAAACAAAGGCAGTTCTGAGCTTGGACATCCCTTTATCTTTGAAGGTCGTGAATGTGATCTATATGAAAGACTCCTTTCCTGATTGCTTGTCCTGCCAAATGGAGGATAGCTACAGGGAGGCGGCTTCTGATGGATCTCTGAATGGAACAGAGATTAGACCGTGGGAACCAAGGTTATTGACTGTGTGACTAAATTTCCCACTGGAAGTCCCGCAGAGTTGGGAGTGATGACCCAATAGACCAGTACATGGAAAAGAATTGGGTCCAATGATCCATACTCTGTTGAATCTTGCACCAAGGGAGAGTGCTCATGACTTCACAAGAGATCCCCTGTGAGAATCAGTCAGTATGCAAAAGATGGTAGGCCGAGCGAGCGCCCTGCGAACTGGGTTTCCTCCATCAGAATGCATTTGTTCTGGTGGGTCTGTCTGATCAGCTGAGATCTCACTGCACGATTCCCGCAGACCACAGCAGTACATGTTCCATAGCGGAGCCTGGCCATTGGTAGCCTCTGCACCATGCCCTATCACAGGAAATGGTCCTGCCTCAGCCAGGTTAGGGTTACCTTTGAGAACACTCCCTCAGCAGGACTGAGTCCTGCTGCCACACTGCAGTAAATCAAGCAGTCAGCCCAAGGAACTAAGGGCCCCTGGTTTATGCAAGGAGACGTATTTAGGGATTTCTGGGTCCAGGAGAGCCAAGATCAGTTTAAGTTTGTCTTCTTCTTAATCTGCAGGCCCATGGGATTGTTCCCAATACGCCCTCCTGCCTTGCCTATTGGGAGTTTTACCAACCAGAAAAGGTATTAGGTCAGATAGTGGTGGTGCACACCTTTAACATTCGGGAGACAGAGACAGGTGGATCTCTGTGAGTTTGACAGAGTTCCAGGACAGGTTCCAAAGATACAGGGAAACCGTGCCTCAAAAAAAAAAAGAGGGCCGGAGAGATGGCTCAGTGCTTAAGAGCACTGACTGCTCTTCCAGAGGTCCTGAGTTCAACTCCCAGCAACTACATGGTGGCTCACAGCCATCTGTAATGAGACCTGGTGACCCCGTCTGGCTTGTGGGCACATATGGAAGGAATGCTGTACACATAATAAATATTTTTAAAAAAGAAAGTAAAGCTTTCTGATAACCAGGTGTCCCCAGTGGATAAGGCCCTTGTTCCTATTGTGCCCTCCTGCCCTGTGTACTAGGGGTCGTACCAATCAGAAAAGGTTTCTGATGATAACCGGGCGTCCCCAGTGGCTGGGGCCCTTGGTGAAGGAGCAGTGGTGCTCACTGTCGTTTTTCAGGTCAGCAAGAAGTTGAGAGGTGAAGTTGGGCTCCTCTTTACCAACCGCACAAAGGAGGAGGTGAACGGGTGAGTGTCTCTGAGGGGTGGGGGGAGAAGCTGAGGGTCGGGAAAGCTGAAAGGGTGGTTCCGTGGTGACATCAAACTGGGGCTGGGTCCTGGAAGCCTCTTATCAGAACCAGATTCTGTGACCTGGGTCCTCCCATTCTCTCTGGTGTAGTCCTCCCCTTTGGGTGCTGGAACTCAGCCAAGATGGACAAGGACAGGAGGCCCTGCATTGTGTGCACTCAGTGGAGGGTCAGACTTGTGAATGGAGGCACAGCTGGGAACTTCCCCATCACTCTCCTCTGCCTTAGGTGGTTCACAAAGTATACAGAAATGGATTTTGCTCGAGCTGGGAACAAAGCAACTTTAACCGTGAGCCTGGATCCAGGGCCCCTGAAGCAGTTCCCTCATTCCATGGAGCCACAGCTGAGGCAGCTGGGCCTGCCCACTGC